ACTCTCTGAGCTCTCTGTCTAAAATAAAATTTTAAAATTAAAAAAAAAGAAATTACAAATATTCTGTAAATATAAGCTTTTTCATTAAAGACCATCAAAATACAGCTGATTAATTTTCTGCAAAATTTAAATAAATCATTATTAGATCTTCTTCTGAAATCAAAAGAAAAAGATTAGGCAAAAGAGCTTTCCTGAAGTGCATAAACAGAATTTGTAAAAAGAGACAGATTTTGATATCTATAAAAGGATCACTCTTACAAAAGAGGTTTGCTATTAATCACTATTAAATAAGGAAGGAAGACACTATTCTTTAATGATTTTATGAATGATTTTTTAATATCTGGGTTTTTTTAAAAAGATGACGAAATAAAAGACAGATTTATTTGTTCCTAAGAAACACTTACGTGAAGTTGCAAAATGCTGAAATTTGACTTAACAGGACAAAGCTCCCAGGTCTCATTCTCTAGAAACATCCTCAATTCATCAAGCCGTGTCCTTAAAAAAACAAAACACTCCAAAAAGTTAGGAGAAAAGTAAACTGCACACAAGATTTAAGAAAATAAAATTTAATTATAGAATTATCATCATAATCACAATCAACTTTGAGAATCCATTCAAATCAACACAGCAAACACAAACATTTACTTTTACTTGTTACTATCTTACCATTAAGAGAAAAAATTCTCAAATATTTACTAAACTCACAATATCTTTATTACAAAAATAATGTACAGGAAATGATATTTTAATTAAGGGATTAAACTAAAAGCTACTCACCAATTCACATACTTAAACTATCCCTAGCTAATTATATATCAATGCCAAAAAACAGAGAAATAATTTACAAAGTTTATGACATCAGTAACACTAATAAATGCTTTATGCTAAACAGCAAAGATCTTAATCATACTTACTAAGCCACAAGATCAAGATGATTATCAGTCTCCAAATATATTTAGCTCAGTCCCTATCTCTACACAGCATTTACAAATTAAATGAGCAAATATGGTACTTATATGGCCAGCACTGCACTAATCATTTACATCATATTGATCTCTTCTTACTTTTTTAATGCTATTGCAGTTTACTGTCTATCGTGGATCATATATATATCATACATTATATAGGCAGTTCCAGAAGAATAACTACTTCTTTCCAATTGACCCAGGAAACAAAGGGCCAGTGCCCGCCCCTACTTTTCCCTTCTTGTAACAGTTTCGTTGTTATTACTAAACTGCCAAAACCAAAATCTAGATTTTTAAAAAAATCCACAGGTTCTAAAGAGACAATAAATAGGTAAATCTATAAACAGCAAAAACTGCTCCAAATATTAGAATTAACAGAGGGGGACTTTAAGATAACTATTATAATTAAGTTAAATAAAATAGAGAAAAAGAAGTACAAAATGGGTAGAAAAGAGAATTTCAAAGAATTGCAGTAATAAAAACAAAAAGAGAATCAGACATTCTGTAACTGAAAAATATAATCACCTTGAGTTAAAAATTGGTTAAGTAAACAGAAGACAGATTGACAGAAACTATCCAAACTGAAGCATGAATTGAAAACATAAAAGAAGCAACAGAAAAGATCATAAAACATAGATGAGTCACAGTCAAAACAGCTAGTATGCATGCAACTGAATTGAGAGGACAGAGAAATGAACAGAAGCAATATTTGAGGAGGTAATGGCTGAGAATATTCCAAAAGTGATTGTGCCCGAACCACACACCATATACAAAAATGAACTAAAATGGACCACAGACCTAATGTAAGAACTCAGAACTATAAAAGTTTACAACTCTTACAGTTCAACAATAAAAAGACAAATAACCCAACTGAGAAACGGGCAAAGGTTTTGATCAGACATTTCTGCAAAGATTCACAAATGACCAATAAGCATATAAAAAAATGTTGAATATCATCAGTCATTAGGGAAATGGAATCAAAAGCATAATGAGACACTACACCACTGAGACAGCTATACTCAGAGATCGACAATAACAGGTATTGATAAGGATCTGTAGAAATTAGAGCTCTTATACAGTGCTGATGGGAATTTAAAATGGGGCAGCCACTTTGGAAAACAGTTTGGGGGTTCTTCAAAACATTAAGCGTGGAGTTACCACTTAACCTGGGAATTCCACTCTGTATCGGTTTCTGGTGCTACTGTAACAAACCACCAGAACCTGAGTGGCTTAAAGCAACAGAAATTTATTCTCTAACAGCTCTGGAGGCCAGAGTCTGAAACAGTATTCACCAGGTTGCAATCAAGGTGTCAGCAGGGCTATACTCTCTGCAGAAGCTCCAAACATCATCTACAAATGTGTTCCTTGCTTCTTTCAGCTTATGGTGGTTATCACCATTCTATGGTTTGTAGCCTCAGCGTTCCAATCTCTGCCAATCTTCATATTACTTTCTCTGTGTCTTTTCCTCTGTGTTTGTGTCAAAGCATGAGAAAACTCAACTTGCCAATACTGGCTTTTAAGATGGAAATGGTCATGTGCAAGGACGGGTGAGCAGCTTCTAAAAGCTGAGGATGTTCCCTTGCTGACAACCACCAAGAAAATAGGGATCTCAATCCTAAAACCATAAGAAACTGAATTCTGCCAACATCCTGAATGTGCTCAAATGTGTATTCTTCCTCAAAGCCTTTTGATTAGAGCCCGGCCCTGCTTACACCTTGATTTTGGCTCTGTGAGACCTTAAAGTTGAGCACCAAGCCAATCCAGACGTCGAACCTCAGAACTGTGGCGCAATAAATGGATGTTGTTTTAAGCTGTTAAGCTCACAGCAATTTATTACCTAATAATATAAAACTATTACAGTGATAAAAGGTACCAACTCACAGACAAAAGCAGCTTTAGTAAACCCCCTCCTGCATAAGGAGTATACAAAAAATAAGACAGGAAGTAAAAGTATACAATAAAAACATAGAAAAATACTAGAAGGGTAAGACAAAGTAAATGCAGTTAGAAAGTTGGTTCTTACATTACTCTGGAAGTATACTAACCTAAGATCAACTATAACAGAACAGGAATGTACAGTGAAATGACAGTGACCACTATAAGAATCCATTTTTAAGAAGCTAACTGAGGGAAAAAAAACAGTATAAAAGTAAAAAATATGCATGATCAATCCAAAAGAAAGGAGGACAATTAATAAATGAAAAAAGAATAACACTTTTAGAAATAAAACAATATGATGGATTTAAACTCAACTATGCCAATGAATACATTAAATGGAAATAGGAAAAACCGTTCAAACAAAATACAAAACTCATAAGACTGGATTTAAAAACAACAGCAACATTGGGGGTGCCTGGGTGGCTCAGTCAATTAAGCGTCTGACTTCAGCTCAGGTCATGATCTCAAGATTCGTGAGAGTTCAAGCCCCATGTCGGGCTCCGTGTTGACAGCTCAGAGCTTGGAGCCTGCTTCAGAATCTGTGTCTCCGGCTCTCTCTCTGCCCCTCCCCTGCTTGCTCTCTCTCTCTCTCTCTCTCTCTCTCAAAAATAAATAAACATTAAAAAAAATAATAAAACAACAACAACACAACAAACTACATGCTATTTACATGAGATACACTTTAAATATAAGGCCATAATTAGACTGAAAGTAAAAATTAAACAGAAACATGATTTCTTAAAATTACGAAATAAGGTGGAATTTTTTTATCAAAATTTTTTTCTTCACCTACTGTGATGATCTTTATGGTATTTTTCCTATATCCTGTTAGTTAGTAAATTAAATTAATTTTAAATATTTCGTCAACCTTATTCTCCCTCTTAAACATTATCTGTTTGTGATGTTATTATCCTTTTTAGGTATCACTGAATGCAATTTGCTAATATTTGTTTAGAAGTTTTACATCTATATTTTTAGGAGATACTAGCCTATAATTTTTCTTTTTGTAATGTCCTTGGTACGTTTTGGTACCAGTGCTATGATGACCTCATAAAATACATTATGAAGCATTCCCTTTTCCTCTATTCTCTGAAGGAGTGGTGTTGATTTTTCCTCCTTAAGTTGGGTAGAATTTACCAGGAAAGGCAGCAGGCCTAGAGATGGAAATGTTTTAAAGTACATATTCAACTTCTTGAAAATACATATGTCTATTCAGATTTTCTGTATTTCACTTTGTTACCTTATTAAATTTTGTTTTATAAGAAACTTGCTCTTTTCATCTACATTGTCAATTTCATTAGCAGAAGGCTGTTCTTATCATTTTATTACATATCTATATTACTAAACATTTACTGTATTCTTTTTTTAATTGAAGTATAGTTGACACCCTATTATATTTTTAATGTCTAGGATCTATAAATACCCTCTTTTTAAATGCTGATATTGATAATTGGTTTTCTTTTTTTTTGGCTCAGTCATGCTAGTAGTTTTATAGAATTTTACTATACATTTGCTTTCTATTTCAGTGATTTCTGCTCTTATCATTTTTCTCCCTCTGTTTCTTCTTGTTTAATTTGCTGTCATCTTTGTAAGTTTTTGAAAGTGAAGTTAAGTGTACTGATTTTCAAACTTTCTCCTTTTCCAAAAACATGAACTTAAAGCTAGAAACTCTCCCCCCTCTACTTTAGGTGAATCCCACAATTTTGATGTGATGGTTTCATTATTATTCATTTAAAAACACTAACTTCCAATATGATTCTTCTTTGACCACTAAAAATAGGTTGCTTAATTTCCAAAAACTAGTAGGTTTTTCTTGTTACCTCTCTGTTACTTATTTCTAGTTTAATTTCACTGTGGTCAGAGAATATAATCTCTATAATTTCAATCCTTTGACATTTTTTAAGTACTTGCTTTATGGCACAACAGATGATCAATTTTGATAAACTTCCTGTGTGCTCTTGAAAAAAATACATATCCTGTAATTGTGTGTGTCTCTCACAAACACAAATGAGGCAAATGTTGGTCAAACACATATCCTTAGTGATTTCTTGCCTGCTTTCATTATCAATCATGAAAAGTGGTATATAAAAAAATTCTATCATTATAGAATTGTCTATTTCTCCTTTTAGTCTGAATATTTTGCTTTATATGTTTAAGAGTTATGTCAGTAGGGGCATACAAATTTAGAATTATTGTTCTTCCTAATGAGTAACCCCTTATTATTATGAAGTATTCTCTTTATTTTTAGCAATACTTCTTTAAAAAAATTTTTTTTCAACGTTTATTTATTTTTGGGACAGAGAGAGACAGAGCATGAACGGGGGAGGGGCAGAGAGAGAGGGAGACACAGAATCGGAAACAGGCTCCAGGCTCTGAGCCATCAGCCCAGAGCCCGACGCGGGGCTCGAACTCACGGACCGCGAGATCGTGACCTGGCTGAAGTCGGACGCTTAACCGACTGCGCCACCCAGGCGCCCCTTTAGCAATACTTCTTGACTTAAAGTCTACTTTGTCTCTTGGGAATTTCTTTAATCTAATACAAAGTATCTACAACCGACTACCACAAATATCATACTTAACAGCAAAGCACTG